TCTGGGGCATTATGGTCTTCAAAGAGTTAAATAAAGTCCGTTAACTGCTAGAACCTAGTAGAATTATGTAGCTACTACCCGCTGAGTTCTTGTGCGTAAATAACAACTCCGAAGAAAGGTTTAAATATTCTTTTATTGAAACTCAGATTCAAAGATGGCCCTTCTTGGGCCTACAAGAAGCCGACACTTTTGGCTTGAGCTTACAATAGAAAATGCAAAATTAAACTTCTAAGCTAAGTAGAATAAACAGCCTAAGTTGTACAAAATTGGTCACCACATAGTTGGCTCTAATTTAAAAATCTCCGGCGAAACCTAACAGGCACGTAATAGTCACGACCGTAAACTAACAAGCTTTAACTCGCAACAATAAGGTGGCCGAAAGCAGAACATACTCTCCTCCTTTCTGTCTAATTGAAGTACTTAAGACCTTAACTTAAATAGTAGTTTCTCTCCTATATTGCGTAAAACGTAAAACTGAAAAATCTCATTCTGGTAGGAAAGCGTAAGTAGGAAAATGAAGAAGTAACGGAAAGCTGTATTAAAATGAAAATAACTAATAGAAAAATAAAGTGAAACTCTACAAACTAGCATGAAGTGTTTGCTATTTGAAAAATTTTAATGATATTAATTAAACATACTTAGTTTTAAAGCTTTGTAGCTGGATAAAATAATGCATAAATTCATGCATAACTTCATGCATAAATTCTTAGAGCAAGAGTTTTTTTCGAGCTCAGAATTCGATTTTTGCCTCTGGACAAAGAATCTTTGTAGGTTACATAATTCGAGAAGGACTTTTTCATCAACACATCAATAGCTAAAATGTCGAAAATTCTGGATTATCTTTATTTAAAAGGCTCGAATATTTTCTAGTTTTTCCTCTTTATCTACTGTCGAGATACTTAGTTAAATTACCTTTTAAGATGTTAGCTGAATGCCTTAAAACACACTCGTCTGAAAAAAATTCTGCAATGACGCTACAAGAAGCTTCCCGACTAAAAGGTGGTGGAAGTCACCACAAAGATTTCGCGATTGGGTCTCCTAATCCCCCAGTCGCCCAAGGGAGAGTATATAAGGTATTATCTCCCTCCTTTCAGCATACCTTCTTGGGCTAACTAGAAGCACGCTCAATGCGTATTCGGACTGTTCGGAGTTTGAAACCTGTGGAAGGCAAATTCCGGACATCCTAGACATTTTGCACACTCCGGTGCAGTCTCTGCAGGTCCTAAATTCTGCTGCCAAGCGACTATCGAAATTCTAAAAATTTGGCGTCCAAGTGTCAAATTAGTGCCATTCCTTAATTTTGTTGTTTGAGGCCTTCTCTTAACTTCTAAAAATTTTGCTTTCCCCTAAGTTCTACCGCCAGGTGCGGCCGCACCCGCCACCGATTCTGGTGTATGTTCTGGGAATATCTGGATAACTAATTTAAAATAGCAATAAATGCAATCTTTTGATATAAAAGTATCATTTATAAAATATTTTTTTATATCTATAGAAAGAAATTTCATTTAAATTTCTCCTAATCAACACATTGAACACTTCGCAGCGTAGTTCGCAGAAATCTTCAGTCATCGCCAAGCTAAGTAGAATTGAACCCAAACTAAGTAGTAAATTAAATCGCCAAGCTAAAGTTGGACACTTCTACATTGGAAACTTCGCAACGTAGTTAGCAGAAATATGCAGTCTTCTCCAAGCGTAATACCAACATAAAATATCAACTTTCTCTTAGCTATTCAATTACTAATATTAAAAAAAAAATTACTTAGACCTCGCTGTATAAGCAGTTTCACAAGCTGTTATGTGTTGATTAACTGTTATGCCGTGATGAAAGCAAAGAATAATGAAGAATGATTCTCTGGTTGGCACGGTTGTACCCATTGCATATTTGCAGTGCAGTTATTGTGATGGTATAGCGCTACAGGCAGAAAGTTCTTGAACCCTATGTGGGAGTTTTCCGGGAAGATGTTGGACAGGGCTTTATTTTTATAAATCATAAAGAACGGCCACATAAAGCTTCAACTGTCGACGATTTTCTGGGGGAAGTGGGTTTCGCCGTATGATATGGACAACGAATTCGCACACCTAAATCTTATATAGCCTGCTCGATATACATTTGAAAGAGTCATTGCATAGCGTTAAAATCCTCGTAGGGCTCTCTAGGCATTAAAATACTCGTTTTTAAAAGAAAAGAATTTGTTGAAAGAAATTATAGTGTATGATCTCATATAAAGTATGACTACCTGCTGTGAAACATAAACATGAGAGTCACGCTGATTATGTGACATGCTGTGTAAATACTCGTTGAAAATGTTTAAATAGCTTGAATAGAATCGAATATACAACGAAATAAAAGCATTTCAGTTCCCTGACATCGAAAATTTTCTAATGACTGTAGACATTTGTTAAAAATATAAATTTTCGTTATTTGGTACAAGCAAAAATTTTATATCGGGAAAAGTCTTTGTTATTATTGTAACTGTGTCGATTTTAGGTATTTGAGAATGTACTACTTTGATCCAGCAAACTACATACCACACTTTTGTGCTTCTAAGGCACAACATTCTCTGCACATAAATTTAATAAAAAGGGGAGTGCACTGCTAAAATTGATGCTGTTTTAGAATCACAAATTTTTATGAGCTGCTAAATATTCCGAAGTAAAAAACTAGGACTTTAAAACTTTTCCGGAAAAATAGGAATACTGTTGTATTAAAAAATCAAAGCCATTTTATAAAATATATGTACATTGCTAGATGTATTATAGTAGTTCTCCATTTTACCTTTTTTATTTTTTAAAGTGTTCTTTTCTTTTTCTTTCTTTTTCTTTTTTTTTTTTTTTTTTTTTTTTTTTTTTTTTTTTTTGTTAGTTCTGAAATTATAAAATTAAGGTGTGCGAGTTAGAGAGTCGATGGTTCTTGGAATCAAAGAAATTCGGTACAAATCTGCAAGACATCTAGAAGTAAATATTGGCAAAACTTTCAAAGCTTTACCAATGTTTTTATCAGTCTTATATTTCTGTACTACACATTCAAGAATTTAATCAAACTCTTATTAAAAATTGTATTAAGTTTTTAGTTTCGGCTTGAGCTAAGGAAAACTAAAGACTCTCACTTCATCTGAAAATTCATTTCATTGGAATTCCTTTGTAGCCCGCTGATACTCACTCAATAGATGTCACAATGCTCTTCGAAGTAAGAAACTGGGAACAAAAAGTGCTCACTTGACAGAAATAGACCCATAGATCTTTCAGTCACAGATGGGTATGATAATCAGTACAGTATAAGATAACACATGAGCGAAATGCCTGATATCTAAATCCCTTGCACTTAAAGGGAGGCTAGGGAGAGGCAGGACACACAGACAAACAATTCCGAACTGTTCGACACATGTTAGTTCGGAAGAAAAGCCTAATAGGTACTTTTTTGGAGCGAGAAAAAATCAGTTTCGTAGTCACCGGAAAAATGAATTTCGCTGTCACCGGAATTTGAACCCCATCTCTTGCTATGCTATCCGTTTGTATTATCACTCCCTTCTATAGACAATCAACAGTAGCGGGCCGTAATTTCTACGCTATTAAAAATTAATAACGAGTGATTATTTCGCCTATTTTTACGGTATGGTTTTTAATAAATAACATGTTTATGTGAAATATGTGCCATTTGAATCCTCGGTCCTCGAATCTCATGAATCAAGAAAAAGATTCGAAAATGAATATCTTTGCAATCCTCCCCCGACATTCAAGTATTCAAGTATTTCAAATTTTAACTTAAATTACCATAAAAGCTTTAACTCAAAACGTTCAAGGAATTAGTATTATTGACGTCCAGCAGAAGTGTTCATTAAATAAAGAATGCCGTAGTTACTATTTCTTTCAAACTTGGTACTAAATAAGGTGATAATTGGCTTCACCTCATTCATCTTCATGACCGCACTGAGCGCCAATCTCTTTCCTGAATCTATTTCCTGAAGAAAAGAATATTCCAAATATAGTGTTTATCTGTCTTAGCTCTCGAAATAATCATCTCTTGTGTCAATTTTGAAAGATTCTGAAAAAGATGTAAGCAATTTTTACCGTTACTTAAATATTTTTAATTAGTGAAATAATTTTGAAAAAAAAAAAAAAAAAAAAAAGGAGCCGGGGTATGAATTAAAAAATTTTATTGATTTACTTCATTTACCGAATTTTCTTTTGTATTTTTTAAACATATGCAGATTTAAAAAAAGTACAGTCTTAAATTTGTTTTTCATTAAATGCAGATTTCAAATTTTGCTTTAATTAAAACTTTCTTTTGGCATAATTTGGGTTTTTTTTCCGTCTTAGAATTTTTATATGGAGGATTCGAGAAATTCGACAGCCTTTTATAATTCCGATTCGAGAGTGTTTAAGATATGTTCTGTCTCTAGAATGCAATATATATATATTCTTGTTATGAATGCGTAACATATACTCCCACTTTGAACAAGTGCTTACTACTACTACTCACTGTCTTCCTAAAAATTATGTTTTAGGACAGGAATAAAATCAATTGCTTCCATTAGATATTAAATAGTTTTCTAGAATTTTTTCACATAAAAATAGGGATTTAAAATTTCACAAAAACCCTATCAAGTATTCTTAATAAAAGAGGTAAGGATAGATGATAAAATAAGCCAAATTTTAAGACTGGAGCAAATTAGTAAATCGCTCTTCCGCAAGCTGGAGTTCCAGCACAAACGCAACTTCAGCCGAAACTTCAAAGTCGTCGGATTCATCTAGTGAAAAAATCACTTCCAACCCCCATGGTTCCCGCCAGAATTAACTTCATCTCCGAAACTCTACTTCTCTTTCCCCATCGTAGAAGCCCCCCTTCAATGATACGCCTCGCCGCCGGCGACAGGCGGGGAGGGGTGAAGGGAAGAGGGGTCCTCTCACGACGTAACAACAGGTATATAACGGACCTACCCTGTCAGAAGCCCAATCATAAGCTAAAGGTGAGTTAGTCGACCAACACAGTACCAGGCTGTTTATTTTTTACGCAGTAAAAGTCACTCTACTACGTGAAGAAAAAAAGCACGTGGTCTGCGGCATTCAATCGAATTGTGTGATTTCTGTTGACTTTTAATGAATATCTAATTTTTTTTGGTACCGGATATTAGTATGTATCTATTGACTTGCTTGAGCAAATTTTTGCATCATTTATAATAAAAAGGTAAGACCAAACTCTTTTTTTTTTTTTTTTTTTTTTTGTTTTGTTTTGTTCCAGTATTTTGTCATTTAGTTGTAATGTGATAGTTATTTTTAAAATTATTCCATTCTTAATGAAATGAGATTTTTAGTTTCTTTAGTATTTTAAAGAGATTTAAAATGAAATGTTTATACGAGAAACCATAAGCATACCTGATGAAATACAAATTTAAATTTCTTTATTATTTTTAAATAAATCAATAATTCTGTAAAGGATAAATGTTGTGAAATATGTACTATCAATATAAACTATATTGTAAAATATATATTTGTCAATTAAATTGATTAATACAGTTTCCTTTACATAGGTTTTTAACATTTGTATTTTCACTTATCATAAGCACGTGCGACTAGACTTTAATCAAAAGTATCTCGAGTATCTAACCTTTTTTTATAAATTCAATTATTTATAAACTGTTCTTTTGATTATAAGTTTTTATTCTTTGAATTGATTGATGAAATTGGAAGGATTTTTATTCAGAATAAAATTTAAAAAACCAAATTAAATAAACGATTGTACACAAAGTATTAAATTATGAGAAATTAATACCAGCCGTTGAGCATCTTGAAATGTGTGTTATATTGTAATGTTAAACACCTGCATAATAATATCTGTCACCTAACGTGTTGTCCTCATTAAGTTTTGAAGATCCGTATTGAAATATTCGACGGATTTAAAGGTTTTGATATTAAGTGTTCTAAAGCTCTTCAATGTGAATTGGAAATTTTCAGTCATAAATAAAAAATGGTACATTTTTAATAGCATAAAAATTTTTAAGGGAATAAAGAACACCAAACACTTTAAGTTTTATTTAAAGGAAAGGGAGAAAGAAGTTATTACTTTATAAATTTATAAAATAAGTATTAGAAATGAGAGGTGAATTTAAACCATATTTGAAATGGAAAATTCTTTTTTTTCTAAACAAAAAGAAAAAGAAAGAACAATTTGTCTCATTATTGCATTCCTTCGAGAACATTTTTTTTTCTAAATAATAATCAATTCCGATTAATTAATACGTGTGAGAAGATAAATTTGCAGTTATAATTCTCATATTGATTTGTATACTTTCATTAAAGCTATAATTAAATTTTTCATGAAAAATGTCTATAATTTTAGTTCTTTTTATGATTTAATTATAACGCAGCCAATTTTAGGCTGGTTATTATATAGATAGCATTGTCATTTTCATACGCTAATTAGTGTTTAAATAAACATAATACCTCTTTTATCTGCGCATATGAGTAACTAGGAATAGATTTTAACTGTATTCTGAATATTTGGAAATTAAACATGCTTTCTTAATAACCTATACCTAGAAAATAGTATTTAATATGTAATTTGTGAAACACTATGAAAGTATAGAGTTTTGCCATTAACATATGAAATTATTTTAAATTTCAAACTAGGTTGTCAGCTCTGAATCTGCACTGTATAAGACCAAATAAATAAATAAATTTCCTAAAATACTTATAAAAATTTTAAATTATTTAAGCTTTATTTTTACAGATACCTTTTATTACTATTTAATTTTTCGATCATCATTCACCATTTAATGAGAAGTACATAGTTTTCTGCCACTGATCTAAAATTTAAGTTATAATTTAATCGCTTAAAAATATCTTTAGGACGGCTTCCTTTAAATTCATACCTTTCAAACCATTTTGCATTTTATATCGTATTAAAGCAATTTTATAAATAGAAAGGGCTTTATAGGAATTAATATTAGTAATAAATTTTACTACTGTTAATTTAGGAAAATTATTGTACAATCTGTTTCACATTCTACAAGACAGTTGTATAAGTATAATTGACAACAATAACAAAATTAAAAGTCAATTCTCTGATACATTTTTAAAAATAATTTCTGAATTTCACATAGTAATTCAGCAAGTGAATGCTTATGAAACCCATCGGATTTCTTATCCGAAATTTACCGAAAGTTAGACACTCAGATATCATGTAAAACAATGGACTATAATCTGATCCTATTGCCTATCTTAGATTATTTCCGAACTGCAACCTACGTTTGACCAAGGACTTCTAGAGAAATTAAATGTGAATTTCAGGTGCATTTTTTCCTAGAATCAGTCCTCTCTGGGCTTTCGAACTGATTTTTTTTTTTTTTTTTTTTTTTTTTTTTTTTTTTTTTGTCCATGTGCGTAAATAATATTTTTGTCGCAAACTTCCATGTATTTGCCTGAATTCGATTCCAAATCTCCCAAGCATGAGTGTTGCCGCTCTGTTATCCGGTCGGTATGCCAAATCCGTATCTACCGGGTGGCGTTCGCAGATCGTGGCGGCGTATTAACGACATGCTTATATTATGTATATATCACATTTTTTTATTCTTAAAAGTTATATCTTACAAGTTAAGATAATTATTTAAGTTCCAACATATTACCGCGTTTTTAGTTTATTTACATTCAGGTTATACAGTGACAGTTTTTGAAACGTTTTTTCTTGCATCATTACGGTCATCATGAAACAAACTGAAATTTCTTTTGTAATTTACACTTTAATGGAATTAAAAGGATTGGTAGCTTGCAGATAATGATAAGGTCTTTTGTAATACGTTTTATTACTAAATAATGACATTTTAGTAAGCATTGTTTATACGTGATATACAAGAAATCGTCGATTCTAAGACAAATCATTTTACCCATTTAAAAGGAATCGATGGCTCTTAGAATTACAGATTTTTTTTAACTGTCATTATTTCCAAATAATTGACTTTTCCCAAATAATAATTAAACAAATAATCTGTTGTTGGTAATTATTACAAAAATTATATTATTACAAAAATATTTGCCAGAAGTATTTAAAAATTCTAATTAGTTTTATTTTACTTGATTAGAAGCAAAATCTATTTTTTTTTTCATTGTTGGTGTAGGAATTTAGGGGCGCATCTCACAATTTAGGACTGAATATAAAAATAAACAATATGATATTGCAATGAGAACGTAAAAACTTTAAAAACTTAGTCAGAATAATGCAAACTGCAACTTGCTTCATGTTAAAGCTATATTAATTTCTATTTATGCTTGCTGTATTTAAAATTTCGCATCAAAATTATTGAATGCAATTATGTTTAGTCTTAAAATTTGGGGAATATGGATAAAACTTCTCATAATAGAGAAAGTCTCTGAACACTGGTAGTTCGGTCCGAGGTTCGAATCCCGCGAACGGGCTGGCTGCATGGGTGTTTTCGTGGTTTTCCCCATGTGTAACGTGTATACGAGCCAGTTTCCCTTAGAAAGTTCTCCACGAAGGCATCCCTCCCCTTTAGGCAGATAGCCCTCGAGGCTTTGCTGTAATTAAATAACCTAACCTAACCTCTCATAATAGAGATCTCATATATAGAGATACTATACGGTCGTTTGTTGCAGAACACATGAGTTCTGTGGATAACCAAAGGTACATTATAGTTAAATTTTAGATATTTTAATAGAAATTAATGATTAAAAAAGGGGAACGACTAATTTCTTATTATTATAATAGTTCAATAAGAGCCAGTATAAATTATTTTCCCAATTTTACCTATCGCACAAATGTATCTTCAAAAAAAGAAATTAATGTATTTTTACAATATTAAAGATAGTGAATTAATACACTAAAATGATTTAAAGAAATGAAAAGAAATTGTGCATTTTGTTTTCGAATTTTGATTCGGAGAAAATAACCATGGAACAGTCGTTAATGTTTAAAGCGGATAAACGGATTTTCATTGACTTATTATTACTGAACACTTTCATTTCAATCACCAAACAAAGGCTGCATTTTGTAAACTATTATTGTTTTATGTCTTTTGAGCTTATTATTATGTTTGCATAGTAACAAAGTGTAATTAAGAAAACTATTAATTCTGATTTAAAATAATAAATAATTTAAAAAGCTAAATATTATAGTTTTGGAGAATTGTTATATGTGAACAAGTGAATAGAATAGACTTTACGCAGTCGTAATTAAAATATTCAGTGCCATGCATTTGAAAGAAATATTTACAAGTGCAAATTATAACAGACTTATCTTTTTTATTTTTCAGAAATATGAAACTAGCGTAACATATTACTACTAATGTGAAAATATATTGCTGCTCAGAATTTTTGTTAATTTGTGCGTTTCGTTTCAAACATTTCCTATTTATAATTACAGTTTTAATATCTCATAATTATTTTTACGTGACTAACTATGAAATTTAGATGGCCCAAATTTTCTGCTTCTGAGATTTGGAGATATATTTTAAATATCTTGTTATGTTAATTATCTAAAATCTTCTACATCCATGACAATTTTAACATTTGTCTAGGTATTTTAAAGTGTTACTACACAAATAGATATCAAACACTCTGCAGAATCTCACTTTCTTTGGTAGCTTAAAGTAGTGAGCTCTAGAAAGACTACAGAAGAATAATCCTCTTGCCTTAAACTGTAGACAGACAAAGTCAGAAGAAGGATGTAAATAGACCTTTTTATTTAAACACAAAGAAATAACAATCACCCAACTTGGATTAGCAGAAACCAAACACTTCTAGCTGAGCTGAAATACGTAATGCTGAACTAAATCAAATGTACTAGATTAGCCTAACGACTCACAGGATAATCTAAACGTGCAGGAAATGCTCTGGTTTATAGAAAAACCGGCGAAACAAGCTAAATGGCTAGAAGCACTCAAAGCAAAAGATTTAAATCGCCAATAGTTAAGGTACAACGTGCTCTGAAGTAGGGGGAACGCGCTCTAACCTCACAACTTCATTTGATTTAAGATCCTCCGTGACTCTAAACACTTGATGCAATATAGCAGGCGAAACTTTGATACACTATTTCAGTAGACTTAATTGTTTTCTTTTCCTTTTTTGCTTTAGATTAGCATCCATGGAGAAACTGTTATGAGTGGTGTCAAGACGTATGTTAATATCTCTCATTTTGAAGAAGTTCTTCAAACTGCAAAAGTGTCTCTTGCTTCGAAACTCGGCTTCAATATGCTACACGACGAGCGCTACGGTTCCGTCTACGCCAACTTCTCGGACGGAAATTATAGCCCATCTTCCAGCCCAATATCTGTCATGTCCAACACGACTCCCGTGCCAAGTCCAGTGCAGGGTGACGCCGTCTCAGGAGCAAGAACCTTCTGTGATTTGACTAACTGTAGTCCATCGAAATCTGTGTCAAACGTCAGTACTACTTTTGTGTTTCCCGATCCTAATTTTGTTTACAGAAACACTCTGCCTACATCTATAACCAGATCCACACGTCACTATAACGCTATCGCTCCTAAAACGATTTCAGATCTGAGCAACACTTTTACATTTAACCATCAACTAGACAAAACTTTGGAAACTTCCGCACAAACTTTAATACAATCTAGTGAAATGCCGCAAAATTATGCTGGCAACTACCGTATCTTCCAGAACCAGCCAGTAATGAACATGAACTCAGGTTTCGTAGCAGAGGATGAGATGGATGAAGAAGATGATGAAATTTACGATGACAATAGCATCTTGTCGCCTCGTAGTTGTTCGAAAAGGAAAGTGTCAGAGAGACCACCTTCGCCGGCAGTCGTAAAGAAACGTCGGCTAGCCGCTAACGCAAGGGAAAGAAGACGAATGCACAGTTTGAACGTCGCGTTTGATCGTCTCAGGGACGTCGTACCTTCAATCGGTAATGACAGAAAGCTATCCAAATACGAAACATTACAAATGGCTCAAAGCTATATTACAGCTCTCAGTGAATTGTTACTTAGGGAATAGACTTCTCTAATCCCCCCCCCGTGTGAATATTTTACCTCTACCGAGAACTGTGCCAATTTTTAAAGAAAAAATTAGTAGGTTATAACGGCTTTTGCCTGTGATGTTTCGCAAGTGTACTTAGCCCTCAAAGTTTTAAAAATCCCAACTAGTTTACAGACAATTAAGAAAGCAAATGATAAAGAAAATATATTAAAACATTTAAATGAGATTTGAAAACAATGAACATTATCATCTCTGCTGTCTTCATTTGCTTTAACAAATTATTCTATGAATTTCCTGCAAAAATATCAAAGTAGGTTTGATAAAAAAAATATTTTGTGAAATTTTTATTACTATGCTATTTTTAATCTGAAAATTTAAAATGTACGTAATTCTATTGCAACTTAGTAATTTTAACTGCCAGATAAAACAAATGCATAAAATTGCATTTATTACTTTCAGAACACTGTTCAAATAAACTCAGGTTTTATTTTATATATTTAGACTGTTAATTGTTAAATATGAAAGTGCAAAAATCTGAAATATTTCTAAAGACTATGGTGAAATATTTATGTACTTCGTATTCCTGGACTCTTTTACTTAGAAGAGAAGTGAAACAATACTTTTTAAGTAGTTATGTATGGTATTTTACATGTAAAAATTTAGTCAGTTATGTTTGCCATGTCAGTATTCTAGTCTGTGCAGATGGAGTTATATACTTAAATTATCCCTTAAATCACAACATGCTAATTTGCACAGATTTCTATACAGTTACTCAGTCAGAGTAGAACTGTATCTAAAATACTAAATTAATCTCTAGTGGTATGTAAGCAATATCAGATTTTAATGCACTGTAAAAATTTAAGTGTATATGTTTATGTATCACAAAATCACGCGCAACCATATGAAATTTATACTGTTTCTGGTATAGATTCAGTCAAGTTTAAATATCCGAATTATTTGCAGTTTGCACCAGTTTTAAAACTGAAACTAAATTTATAATGTGAGATATCAAATTTTTAATCTTCAAGACTTTATGCCATTTTTTATGTCATATGAGCTATGTTAACTGCCATATTTTGTTGTATTTTAATACCTTTGTTACGATTCCTTAAGACTGAAACGCAACAGAATTATCGTTTTTCCAGTGAAGATTTTATTTTTTATACATAAGTATTATACGCGCATAAATTAGCATTACTATTCATTCCGAGTAAGAATGATTTTTTGTTTTGTACGTAAATAAATCTGTTTACTGTATATTTTTATATGATATTTTTAAATAAATTATTAATTACCTGAACGTTTCTCTTATTTTTCAATACCAATTTTATGTGCATCTCAGAAACAATATACCTTATTTTCTGAAAATAAATAAGAAATTTTGAAGTATATTATAGATGCTATTTATGTACTTTATATTTTCACAAGCTTCTGCAACGATGTTGAAGAGTATTAAACTACTTTAAGTGAGTATTAATGTTGTATCAAAAAGGGACATACATATGTTAAAATTTAAGATTTGCTCTTAAAAACTAAGAATAGGACATTAAATGTTTGTATTTTATTTTCAGTTTTAAAATACATTAAGCAGAACTAACAAAAGAAATTTTAAATAGTGTATTTTCAATGAATTTAAGTGTTTGAATTTTTTGTTTCAAATACAATTTCATTTCATAGAAATTACCATGCAACAGAAAAAAAAAAAAAAAGGATTTTTAAATACTCTTTCATAGACAAACGGTAAGTATTTTATATAATTACTTTACTTTGAAAATCCAGGGCAAAAAAAAAATTATCGTTTTAGTTCCAAAATTCAATTAGTAAAATCGTATATTTTTGATGAAAATGGCGACGTTTACTGAAAATTAACAAAATCAAGTACTTTATTTTAAAGAAATTGTAAAATTATAGTTGTAATACGAGCATTTTTATCTCCAACGCGCGAGACTGTTGCCACCCTCAAAAATGAGTGCGAAAATTAGCTCTCTTAAGAGTTTTTAATTAATATTTCGGCTGATAAAAACCATGGGACTAGTCAAAATGGCTTCCCACGAATATTTGGAATCGGCAATAATCTATTTAATATTTGCAATGCTATTTTTATTTCATCGTAAAACTTAGAAAATTTTTATTAGCAAATTCTAGGATTTTGAAAGCGAGCAGTGGCAACAACTTTCGAAATAAAGCAGATTTTCACCTCCAGTTTGCGAGTCTATACTCTGAAAAATGAGGTCGAAAATTATCGTTTTTCCGTGTTTTTAATTAATATCTCTGACTTTAGCTACTTTTTTTTTTTCAAAAAAGTGGGCGTCGACCTTTTCCGGGATCCAGAAAAGAATTGTAGAAAGTTTGGTGACGATAGTTATAGAAGTGACTGAGTTATTTAGCAAATAAACAATTACACAGACTTTCTTCTTTATATATATAGATAATAGTATACATTTATCAAATACGAAAGCTAATACTTAAAGATTCTTTTAAAAACCCAGCGAAGATTTTGATAGTGTAAAATGAAAAAGCATATTTAATTTTTAGCTAGATTTTTCAACTTACTGCTTTAAAAGTAATATAATTAATTTCATATTAGATCTCCCGCTTTACAGTTGTTAGCATCTTAAAATGGTACTTAAAATAGGGTAAAATCTATTGAGTTAAATTCACGAATGAGGAAAAGTTGACTATTGATCTTAAAATTTTTTATGAGCTTAATTTCGTTAAAATATAATAATGTTACTTTTGATAATCTTTAATAAATGCTGATGCATGAAAAATGAGTTAAATGCAAATTTTATTATATTTCGTCAAAAAGTCTACATTATATTTACTATAATACTTTTAAATACAGAAATAGACTGTATATGGTTATAAACAGAGAGCGCACTAATTTTTTATAATAGTGTTACATACTGAAATCTTTTACTGATATAATTCTAATTTTTAAATTCTAAATTTATTTATGCTAATTTGATTTATTTTACGAATTAAATAAATAGTAACTCCAATACCAGTTCAATAAAATATCTTTGAATATTATGCAGAACTATACAGCTTCTCAGCTGTACGCATAGTTGTTCTTTAATCAAATTTATTTCACATTGTTCGCAATTAATATTTTAAAAATTGTAGTTCAGTTATAAGACACTACTATATAGTATTAAACTTGTGTAAGGCTACATTTTGAGTAATTCGTCGTTTCAGTGCATTGAATATTGTCGTGAAACATAATAACTTCTGACTTCATATTTTCATTGTGTTTATTATAATACATCGCTTACAAGAAATGCGTGGGTGAACAAGATTTCTCTTAATAAAAGAGAAAACGCTCCCTAGCTCATCTAAGAAAGCATATCCTATAAAGATTTCATTGGTTAAAAAGTGCGTAGTTAAAGCCTTAATACCTATGTTTCTTTTGTCATTGTTCCTTAAGATTTACTTGTAATTGCTTCTATAGATTAAAATGTGAATAATTACTACATACGGTTGTGCCATTTTTACTTCCTTATAAGAAATAAAGGAAGTATTGTAATAGAGAAAAATCGGATATCATATTTCAACGAAGATACCTATTTCAGCCACTCTCTATTATATTTGAATGACTTTTTTGCGTGATATCTGTATGTACGGACAGAATAAAGAACTTTTTTTCCCCCCAAACGGATTGTAAAATGGATTTAAAATGGATTCAGCAGGGATTTCTTTCGTGACATCTGTATGTCCGTCTGTATGTACTCGCATAACTCAGAAACTACTAGCCGTAGAACGTTCAAATTTTGTATATGGGACTACTATAATATCAAGTTGTGCGCCTTTCCTTTTCTTTGCAATCAGTGACACCAAGCATATTTCTGCCCTGCTAAACAAATCTAGCTAGTATTATCCTTCTATGCTGGCAAATTGTGCATTTCTTGCTTTAAAACTGATTGAATTATATTTCTCTTATGTTCTGGTTAAGGTTAGGCCTTTTTTCAGATTTTAAATTACGTCCAAAGGGGCGTTTTTTTTAACGTTTTGTGTGTTACTTTTATTTATTAAATATCATGTTCTTTGCAGTTAAACCATAAAATTCGAAGCAGTGTCGCAAAATAATTTTAAAATGAGCATATCTTTATAATTTCCGACACCCAATTCTGCGGGTTGGAGATAAAAAGGTCTTTTTTTTCCTCGTAGTGTTGCCATTGCTCGTTTTAAATCGTTGAGTTTGGTAATCACATAAAAAATTCCAAAATGTGGGGGCTTTCAGATACCCATATTCGTAGTAGGATTACGTCATTCAGAATTGGGATGGCTATAGGTACCGTGGTTTTATCACAATGCAAGAAACATACATACCATAATGCAGATTCTTCATTATTTAATTTCTTCAAATATAATGCAGGGCGATATATTTGGTGGCACGATTGAAAGTGATACAGCCTTTTAAAGTTTCAACGCAAAATCGCAAACGAAAACATATCCTCAGGGACAAAGCCCCTTCAATGGGCTAATTTAGAAAAATATTTAAACATTTAATTATAATAATTACATACTTATATTAATCATACATTTTGATCAAATTGTGAGTCAAGATTAATGGTTAAACACTTGATTTATTTTTACATTGAATTTACATTTAATGAAGAATTAAAACAAGCTTAAATACGAGTATACTTAAATTAAATTCTGCTGTGAATAAAAGCAGTACCCAATACTAGAGATATATCTATTATAATAATCTAAAAACTTACACTAATGTTTATATATATATATATAAACAGTAAAAAATTTGTTTTAGGCTGTTGAGTAAAATTTTTCTGCCTTTCCACAATATATTAGCTTAACCTTCCTTTTTCTTCTGACAATGCCCAATTAATCTGCAACGCGATTCATCAGGAATTGACTACATTTCAAGAAGATTCCATGAACATTCATGATACTTTTCATGATATTTTTAACAATTTCATAAAATTCATTAATATTGTTAAAAATACCTTTTGATATATATTTATTCGTTAATAACTGGAGAAATAACAGGTTTGCTTTAAGTTAATATATGTTTTTGATAAAAAAAAATGGGCTTTAGAATCTCTACAGAAAGAGAAAATAACACTCGAGAAAAATTTTCAGAATAATTGTTTCTTCTTTTCTAAAAAAAAAAAAAAAAAAAAAAAAAAAAAGAAGAAGTTCTCCATTTATTTTCCTTTGAAAGCACTGAATCATTTCATAACAAAAGAGTTAAACATGATGCATTTCGTTAATTATTGATGCTCAGCTCGCTAACACATTGTTTATGTTTATTATGGATTTTTGACCTTAATTTCTTAATACGAGATAGCAAAATGCTTCTTTCACTATAAAAAACAATTATATAATATTCCACTTTTGCACTCTTTCAAATAGCTGAGTTAATAAATCTGTTTATGTTCTATGAATAGTCTCACCGAGAGACCGGGCCCATGAGCGGCGAGTAAGTCGCTGGCACGTTAGTCAATCCGAGGTCGGATCCCGTGAATCGGGGATGTTTGCATAGGCGCCTTTTCCCCGTGCATACGATCCAGTTTCCCGTAGAACGTTCCACGAAGGTATTTTTCCTTAGGCCGTAGCCCTGGTGTGCTTTGCCGTAATCTTGGTAAACCACCTCAACTAAAGGAATCTCTAATTTTTTTAATGTGAATATCATTATAGAACGTTGATACATGATTTTTTTTATTTTAGTTCCTAAAATGGGTTTCAATGATGGTTTACTATTTGGACTTGAAAACATATAAAAATTTTGCCATAAAAAGATACCCAAATTTTTTATACGATACGTTTATGAGTTCCTATAAAAAATCAAAAGCTAAAATTGAGAACATTTATCGGTTGAAGTTTATCGATCATTAACCATTAATACACTATTTTTTATTAAGGAACATGCTCAGTGCTCAGGTTATTTCTAAAAGTACCGTTTTGAATTTTTCATGAACTGAAAAGCAGGCATAATTCTTTCTTTCGGTTTCACTCATTAAATTTTGTTTCGCAGATGCTGCACCCTCCCCTCTTTTTTTTTTTTTCTAAATCCGAGATTTGTGGCACTCGGATATCATGTCACCTGATTGGTATTATTTTCCAACCGAATATGCTCTCCTCATGTCTTTGTATAATATAATGGTAATTCTCTGATATCTAGAGCTTTTCATTTTATGATATTGAAACCAAGCCTAAATAACAATAAAGAGAGCTCAGATATTCCCGAATGCTATTGTATTATTTGCCCTAAAGATTATTAGTTAATTTTGACCATTATTAAATTTA